ATTTTGATAACACAAAAATACTGATTAACGAGAGTAATTATAATAAGAGAAGAGTCCGTGAAATGATACAGATTAAAAAACATAACAATGCTATGAATTTCAGATCGTATACCGACAATCTTAGCTCAGTATATCATACATTAATTAAATCAAATAAACATAGAATATTAACTAACACGCGGTATATTGAAGAACTTTGCAAACCAAAAATTATATCCTCAGAATGCAAAGAAAAATAGCTGAAAGTAAAAGAAATCAATATAAACAGTATTTTATTCGCTTTGTGTCCAAAATGGACAAAATTAATACTCCAAATGTATGCCAAGGCTTAAAGCAGCAACAACGCTGCACATGTAAGTAAAAATATTTAAGTATCTGAACAAAGAATTCTAGTCTCTTCCCAAATTTGATTGTCCTGACTAATCACCTGTTAGGCCTAATTAATTTTAGAATGTTTTAAAGTATTGCAATTGTGATGTATTTTAATGTGTGATATGATGAGGCTATGGACGAACTGTGATTGTTTTTTAAATTAATGAAATTTTTTTTAAATATCTGTTATTTTAGAAAAACTGATGATGGTGGAAAAATACACCGAAACGTATTTTAATTGATAAATAGAGCCAATAAATGACTGAAACCCAGGAATTAATTTTGATTTGGAATTGAAACACAGTCAGGAAAGTATATACAATTAAAAATAAGTTAAATTTTTCATAACTCCTTTTTTATAAGAGATGCAAAACTCATTTTTTGCACATTGAGACATGGCACCTTTGGCTACAACAAGCTAAAGTTATATTCAAATTGATTGACCTAAATAGGCGGAACAACGAATTATTTCCAAGCCTGCACCTGTCATTTTTTTGGAAAAATGTATATTATTCCACAACGGTTGAAATTTCGTACCCAGTTCATTTAACAGAATGACTCAAAAATCCGACCGAGAATCCAAAAATGTAATAATATACAGGGTGTTCCATTACAAATAAGCGAGTAAGTACCGCTTAGCCCCAACATCGTTACCTTGTATTGAAAGTTTCAGAATTCTGGTAGTTTCTGTTTGGCGAATACTTCTACTGTAAGGTCCCAAAGATGGACCCTGTATAGATCCAGCCGTACTTTGCAATGTTTTACCGTTTGCCCTATACAATACAGTGAGCACTAGAAAAGTTGCGCATAGTGGCGATTGAACGCTGAAGAACCTTCCTCTAAGCGGCAGGAACCAAAAATTGCAAAAACTAGTGTTTAAACAATTTGAATGGCCTTCGTGAAAATATGTAATTTTAATTAAATTTGAAATCCTGCAGTTGTGGCCTTATTTGAAGCGATATAGTAGGCCCATGAAGTGCTGCCTCCACGTTCAGATCGGCAGCGAACGGAAACCGTTGCAATACAGGACTCAGTGTTTCCATGTTGTTGGCCATATGAATGCGATTCCTGCTGCTCAGTGCAATCCAGTATTGTGCCACTGGTTTTTAGTGATAATTTCAAGAACTATCCGGTGATAACAGCAAATAACAGTGAACAATTCCATTGGCAATTTGTCCGTTTCGAAGGATTTTCGCGGTAAGTTTTAGCGAATTTTAATTGCGTACTTTTCTTTGTTTGTGTCTTTTGTGTATCTACGTGCCATTTACCCCGTAACGTCACTATGACAATAACCTGGCAGGGTGCATTTCCATTGTTTATTCATTAAACTAGCCCCTGATCGCAGTCAAACTGCTGAATCTTAATTGGAAAATTAACAATTTCATGGGGAAATTGAACATTTTCTTGTTATTGACCTGACAGCTGATTTAGATTTTCCCCATTGGCTGCTAAATTGTTCCTAATTCTTTTGCAAATCAATAAACTGATTGCCTGGTAAAAGAATGCCAAAGTGTAAAATGTTGTCATCGATTCCTCATGTTGTAATAGTGAAGTACAAAATTAAAATCCTTTATTATTATTGAAGTCAGCTGTTGGCGTTCTCATGTAAAGCTCGCGTTACGGCATGCAATCTCTCGTCTTTGTTTCTTCCAAACCAGCGAGTTTATTAAGGCGAGATGCACAACCAGCAGGAGTTTGTTTCCATGATTTGTTCGGCGTCAAATGGAAAGTGGAGGTAGACGTAGAGGAACAAACACTGATTCATTTCCGCATCTTGACTTCCGATGTTTATTTACAATTTGATTATTGTTATGTGAATGTTGTTAACCATTTGGCATTTGGGACGAATTTTATCATTGGTTATGTATAGGACGATTTATTATTCGATAGTAAATTTATTACCGTAAAAAACCTTAACTAAAATTGAATGTTATATAAATTCTTATTCAAATAAATTCTCAGTTTTTTGGATTCCTGTTAATCATGTTGGATTCTACTGAGGTTACTACCGGTATATTTTCAAATTTACCACTGACTTGGTTTGGCGTCTTATGACAATACTGTGCTGTTCATTATAAAAAGAATATATTTATTTACACTTTAATACGACAACTTTTGCAAGAATAAACCTTGCATCGGTTAGAATTATTTCCAAATTGGTTCTTTTCATGTTCTAAAATTGTTTAGACAAATGCTTGCATGTCATGGACGTTTTTAATAGAAATTTTGCAACTTTTTGGGTTTTTCCCAAGTCTCATCAGAAAAGTGGGAAAAAGCGAAATACGTTAATGAAGTTTTTGCAATCTTAAACAGTTAAATAAATATTTTCATTACTTAAAACTATTTTGAAAATAAACGTTATTAAAGAACACAACGTTATTTGCACATTAGTTTCGATTTGTTTCCTTTTAGCTCATGTGCTTCATTAGGAATTAAATTGTTCTGTTCGTCTCTGAGTTAGCTTAATAATTAATAGCTGCTTGTTGGCAGAATAGCATAATGAAAGTATTGTTTTCGGATGTCCATATCAAAGAAGGAGAAGAAAGATGAAGCATCAGTAAAAAGACTTACATAATTATAAATATAAATCACATTCCTAGATAATAGATGTTGTTGCCACATGTTTAAAACGTTTAGAAAGGTGCAAATTTCTTGAGTTAAATTATTCTCATTCAATTTAATGAGGAGACTTTTAATTAGTGTTGTCCTAAATTTATAAAATTCTTTAACTTTCAACAAATAAATACAATTCTTGGAATTGTTCATACGAACTTGAATACATTTTGCTTTTAAAGTCTACCAGCTTGGGCTAAAAGTCTGATAAGGCTAATGGAAAACAAGCCAGTCTTTTGTTATTTCGGAATTTTCGAAATACATATAATATGTAGGTAATTGAAAATACATCCCCTCGTCCTTATTAGACTTTTCTGGCAAAACCATTAATGTACACTTTTTTTTTAATTACTAAATTTGCCACATATTATGAAGCAAAAGGAACAGCTTCAACTACATAATATAAAATTTGAAAATGTTTCATTACATTTAGTTCATTATTTTATATATTTTAAACAATTAGTTGTTTGTTTTTATAATTTTTATTAGGAAATATTCTACAAATCATCGTGTTTCCTTTTTGACTCTGAACGCAACGTTTAGTTTTTCAGCTTATTATATTTTAATTTACTGTTAGTTTTCTTATGCTTCTGAAGACTTGTTTTTGTGACCATTCATCAGAAGTCCATTTCAGTTTGGGTGGACAACCTTTGATCGTTAAAGATCTACTAAAATCTTCGAAAATTTGATTACATATGTTCATTTCTATGAAAAATAGGATGAAACTAAGTAGTGCTTTTGGCTTTTTTCAGTTTTCTCAAAGTCATGAATAAACCAAGCAACATATTTGATTCAGATTAGCTTGAGCTAGTTGGCAGATTGTTTGGAAAACAAAATATGTTTTTTTATTATTATATTTTCAACACGATAGTGCACCTTCACACAACTCACGAGTTGAATATGAAGATGCCAAAAAGTGCCTGGACGTAAACGGAAGTCAATTTGAACATTTAATTTAAACGATTCATTATTGTTTTGTGCTTTGGGTGATAATATAGTTCTTGTTTCCATAACCTACTACACATTTTTTATCTTCTTTTGAAGTTTTACGGCAACAAAAGGAGAAAAACATACAAACAATTATATCGTTAAATTCAGAAAAAAATAAGGATTTCAAAAGGCCCACAGCCAACTATGATTACTATTTAAAAACCATAAGTTAATTTTTTATCTCGTAAATCAAGTTGACGAGTGCTGGTTTATTGGATTCAACGCAAAAAGTTGTACTAGGGGCAGTTTTAACTTTTTTTCTAAGTTTCTCTAAGCAGTTTACGTAATAAGTGATAATTAAAAAAGTGTTGAATTCTTGTATTTTCAGGATATTTCAGGAACCAAGTCGGGTACTTAAATCTTGAAAACGGTAATGAATAGGCAATCGAATTTTGCCCAATTTTGCCCATTTGACAGAGTCTCTATCTTTAAAAATATAGAAGTTACCCATACAAAGATTCAGAAAATGGCCACCCTGTATATTAAACAAATTAACAAATAAGTACAAAATAAAGAAAAATGCAAACAGTATATGTACTTGCCCGCATTCTAAAACGGAGATTCTATTTAAAAAATATAACAGTAATATATTTTACGGAGGAAGAAAAGCTTTTGGGTTTCACTAAGTCAACTTTCACTACAGAGAACTCCCACTGAGTAATAAATTAGCTGTTTCCGCGTTGGAAGAAAAGCTTTTTATATTTTTTTAACCATTTGAACCCAGGCCTATTAAATTAGAATTTTTCTGCCACTAAAGTAGAATTAGGCTATAAAAAGCGATGTCAATCCCACAATATTTGACTGAGAATGCAAATCAGCAACAAACTTTCCATATAACATACATGTATTCGCCTTGCTTAAATAATTATTTTAGGCAAACAGAACTTAGAAAACCAACTATTTGGGATTTTTATTCCGTTCTTGAATTGAACAATGCCTGGGCGTGTAAGGATTTCTAGTCTCAATTTTTCAATCAAAAGAAATAAAGTGAAAGACATTTTTCGGTAGACAAAAACTCATAAATTGAACGCTGACTTATCAATGCTCTCACACGTTTTATAATCATCATACATATATGGATTATCCGAATGTCTAGTCTTAACGATTCCAAATGCAGACAGCTTTAAAGGCGTCGTTTCCGGGTTAGAGATAAAACATTCTACACGTTCCTAAATACTTTGTAACTTTGTTTGCTTCGATTGAACTATAATTCCAAGTTGCTGAAATCCAATTAAAATTTACTCCTGTTAAAATACAAATTGTTTCCTTGGCACCTTCTAGTATTTACAGCTGTTTACTGAGCTGGAGCCAAAGAAAATTGCAAAAATGCCGACACGTTTAGCGAATTATCAGAAGTTACGCAAAAGTCTTCACAACTATTATATTGAATTAAATATGATAATATAATGACAAAAGAGCTAACAAAAGGCAAAGACTCGGACGTTGATAATTAAAAAGTTCTCTCAGGGAAGAACATTTTGTTCTTGATAAATTTATTGGTCAAAATCATGGAGAAATTGAGCTGAAAATCATTTAAGCCAAAGGAAATTTCAAATTGAAACTGTCTACTCAATAAATAAAATAATGACCGTTTCACTTCACTTCCTCTTAAGCTTTGACTTAAAGTTTTAATCATTGTCAGCCTTTTCTTATCAGTTTTCTATTTCCACGAGCAATTTCCGTGAATCCAAGTGCCCTAGTTTTCAAGCACCTCTACTAACCTTTGCTAAGATTAGACCAACAAATAGCCTTACTATTCATAGACTATGTCCTTTCTTTAATGTTCTTCCCTTGATACCGCTGTTCCAATATTTCAATAGAAAACATACCGCACAAATTTCCCTTAGGAAATTTCACTCGATGAAAGTGGAAAAGTGAAGCAAGCAGTCGATAATGTACAAAGTTGTCGCACAATGGGAGAGGAATTTGCTTTCCAGCTCGATTTTCAGCATCTACAAAGCCGACCTATTTAGAATTTACTTTCTGGTTTGTTTCTTTCCACTGGCAACGTGCTAAGGAAATAGTTTTATACGGGCAAGGTTTGTAATATCCGTTTAAGCGCGTGGTGTTTCGATTTGGGATTTTTGCCAAACAATTTTCTCGTGCATAATGCATTTTGCTTCTCGGGCAGAGAGCGAATCAGTCATCAAGGTGTAATTATGGAAATGATCTAGAAAACCTATTTTTGAATTGCTGTTAACTGTGTTATTTATTATTTAATTTCCTCGTTTTTTTGGGCGTTACAAAACATTTTTTTGAAAGTTGTTTTATCTGGACAATTTACAAAACAGTAAAACCATGCGTTAACATAGAACTTTGTTAAAAAATGTATAAATCATAGTCGATTTTTAAAGGAATTACTCTTAGATCATTGGTTTGTTGAATAACTTTATTGATTCTTCAGCTGCATACTTCGAAACATTTTCAACTAAACAGCAATACAGGAAAAGAAAGCAAAGATCGAGAAAGTTTTAATGGAGAAACAATAAGTAAAGTTAAACTGAGTTTTCAACTAATTCTTATTTATGAAATTTATGGCTTTTTAATAATTATACTAATTTGAACAAAGTAAATAAAATGCAAAACTGTTCGTTCGAATACTTAGTGTGTTAAATAGAAAAAAGAAACAAACAAAACAAGGGCGCTAGATTGTTGTTTAAATAAAACATATTCAGACAACATAACTTTTTCATTAAATATTATAAATTATAATCAACTACTGGCTGCTGCGTTTTCACATTTTCAACAAATTTTATTTTTAGCTTGCCATATTGGTAAAAATACCAATGTTTCTCTTGAGTCTCCGGTAAATTTTTCTCTGCTTGCTCATTTGCAGATTAAAATTAGTGGTATTTCTGTACTTCGAGAAAATGGAGATAAAGGCACAAACCACTGTTTTTTCCAATTTAACTGTAACACAATCAATATGTGACTTATCGAAATTTAGTTAGTATCTGAAACCGGAAAACACGTAAGATTCGCTTTTCTTGCACAAAATTACTTTTGCGTCTATCATGTAGTCAATTGCATTTATTTTGCTAATTATTCTTATACCTAACTGTTATTAAACATTTACAAACCGAAATTGTATTTAGAAAAAATTTAAACTAGTTGGAGGAAGAATCATAATTGAGATTTATATCTGCCAAATTGCCTAGATGGGAAATGTTTCCATTCGCGGCTCATTTTATATTTTAGTAGGTCAAACTCCAATTTAGACGATCAAACTCTGAATGAATATGCATATTTGTTTAAACGATGAAGATGAAACATTCGATACTTCGAAAAAGTCCTGTAAGTCTTCAAATCTTGTATGAACAAATCGTAATAAAAACATATTTTTGTCAAAAACTCATACTGTAGATAAATGAAATTATTTCTAATTTTTTATTAGATATTCTGCTCCTAACAAATACAAAAAGTCAAAAAACACAAGTCATTAAGAAGTTAAATTTAAAAAATATTAAAGTCAGGATTTGTGCCCTCTGCTATGAAACTTTTTTACGTTAATTCAGAATCATCTGTAAATAACTCAATCTAATAAAAATCGAATGCTCTAAAAAGCGATTCATTAAGCATCTGCTGGAAGTGGATGTTTACAAAACAAAGGCCAGTACCAGTAAATCCCGAGCTATGCAGTCGTTAGAAAAGTTTTTTTTTACTAAACTTCTGTTGGGAAAGTACAAATGCTTTTGAAATAGGATGCAAATAGTGAACGGCTGCAAATTTATTTTGAATGGAAAATAATGGTTCGAGTAAGTTGTTTAGGTCATTTTATCACGGCACAGCTGGGTCTGTTTCGTATTGGTAATCTCCTTTTAATTAAAAGAAGATTTGGTTTTAAAGCCTTTAATTATCAGAAGGGCAGTTAATTAGAATAAATGATCAAGAAGGCTCGCTTAGGTGCACTATAGGGAATTTACAGATTGCAGGAGCTTTAGCAGGAAATTTCATTAAGAATTTACCACAAAGTTAGTTATTATTTATTTTCATTACTTCAGCTAGTGACACAAAGTTTTGCATCGTTCATTGTGCGTTACATTTCGAACGAAATGTTCATAAAAGAAGGTTTTCTGGATCTTTAAAATTTACGGAAAATTTATAATTAAAATGAAAATAAGAACTAAAATGGAATTTTTCTGCTGTGTTTTATTACAGCAGAATGAGATCAAAAATTCTTTAATATTTACGTTAATGTCAACTGTTTAATAAAAATAATGAGCATTTCCTTACTTAATCAACTATTGAAGGTATTTTCTAAATTTTCCATTGCTATTTTTTAGATTTTTGGATGGAGGTATGTTTCAATTCTAAGCAATGTCTGGACTAAGGGGTTTTGAAGTTAATTAATTAAGTTGAGACAATATATGTTATAAGATTTTGTCAAAGGTGTTTATTATTTTAAAAGTGTATTTGCACTTCGTAAAATTCCAGCTCAATCTGTTAATATATCAAATTATTGGTCCTGCCTTGTAGCTAAATGTGTAATATCCAAATTAAATTTGATTTTTTCTGTGTGAAAAGATTTTCTAACTCATGTTGCACTTGGCAGATAGGTTTTTCGCACACTGTATAGTTCATTTCAATCAATATTAAGAAATTAAGCCATTTTTTGTATAAAAAAACATTCAAAATGCATGTGCTAGAAACTTACTGAATGTGCATTTTTAAATTATGGAATATTCTTTGGGCGTCATTGGAGGTGATCATTTAATTTTACATGTGGGATCACGAGTTAAATCCCTCTAGATAAAAGTGTCTCCTTTGGGATATAAAACACACAACAAATAGGGCGTACTCCGTTTGGTTTCTATGAAATTTCCGATTTCAGATAGATTCGGATATCTTCTTTAAAATTATATTCACGTACAAAGTAAAATCTTCCGGATTTAGACGATAAAAATAAATCGATTTTATTGTTGCCTTAGTAAGATAAATCTGGGGGATTCGGTAAGTGGTTGAATCAATTGAATCAATGCAGTTTCCTTGAAGCATGTTCAAAGTCTATGTAAACGTTAAATGCTTATGTCTGATTACTAACATCAAGTTTTCAATAGAAACTGTAAAACTTTTAAGGAAGTGCTAAGTAATTCAAGGAAATTATTAAATGCTGAAAATTTCAACTTTACACAAACAAGATTCGGAACTGCAGTTTGCAGTCATATTAGGTACATTGTATTTTTAGTGAACAATTGTAAAATAAAGAACTTCAGACTGATGGCTTTCAGCAAGTCGACATCCGGAAAAATTACATTTATTTAAATCAATACAAAAGACTCAGAATAGACAGAGAAATAGAAAATTGACAAAAATGATGAATACAACAGATTACACACAATTATATAAAGATGCGCTTACAGATGGAATAAATGTGAACATGCAATTTCTCATTAATGTAATATATGTTAAATTACATAAAATCAATTTTGTCCTCAGCGTAGAACCGCTGTACTTGAACGGCATACAATGTGTCGCGTTCCTGATTAATTTGATTTTTCCACAAAATTGCAAAAAAACCTTTTGGCTTTGTTTCCAATTGAGTATGCGTTTATTTAATTATTACCAAATGACTGTGACTAAACCAAGTTGCTATCGCAAAGCACTAAAGATTAGTTTGAACAGAAAATTTATTTGGTACCTGTACTATTTACGTATAGATACATTTTTTGGAAGTTTTCATAGATTTTCTGATGTATTTTCTTAAAATTTAAGCCCAATAATAGTAGCTTACAATTCAGCTCTTAAGAGAGTGTTAAGCCCCAAAAATTTAGATTACTAATGCAAAAATGGCAAATGTTTCCACATTTCCCAAATACTGTTTTTTGCAATTCAAAATTGAATTAGAATTCGGTTTAATTTCAAACCACACTTTTCCTATTATACTTGATAAGATGTTTACTAAACATGTGCAAGCACACTTCAGAACACGAATGGTTTAAATGGCTTATACTCAATAAGCATTATAATCTCTATAAGACTCAATTACTCGGACAGTCACTAAAGCTCTATGATCCCTTTCTTGATTGCCTGGCGAGAAGAAGTGATTCCAATAAAGAGTGGTAGATTAACAGAGGATCAAGCTAATGTGGGTTAGATCGATCAAACGTTACTTTCGGAGATAGTGTGCAAATAAATTGCATGAATTTCATAAAGGTCATTTTGAGCATAAATGTTGTTGAATCTTCAATCTGTTTTGCATACTGTACTAAATCCATAAAAACACACGTTTTGTTTCACAATGTCGCAGAAAGAATTAATGGTAGGCATAAGAACAACTCACGTTTAGACGAGAAAATAACAATTCAGAATTCGAATTTTTTCATATTTTAGATACATTTACAGTTAGTTATTACGGAATTAAGTACGCATTAGCACGTCAATCGGCTGTTTCGACAGTGGATCCAATTTGGGGTTTAATTTTCAGAGGGGCATTTTGGGGTATTTTATTGTCCTAAATAAAGGACCAGGACTCACAGACGTGCATCTATAACTAGAGTTTAATACAATTGGAATGTTTAATATTTTTTAAGGTTTGAATTTCTAAAATATATTTGTATTTCTTTGCTTTTAAATAGGAGATGAGTATAGTTTGAACTTTAATTTGAAATACGGTTTTATCCTATTTTATAAGATTTTGAAATTAATTTTAATGCAAAAAATGTGTAAATCGTTATTTTAGGTTCTTGCAAGGCAGTTGTCAAGCAAAAGTATGGATGAAGTAAAGCTATTAAACATTTTATATTTCTGGTATGGTTCAATAAAATGATAACTTATTTTCAAATTAAAGAAATACATTATTACTGGCAACTGCCTTTTTAAAATATTTAAAGTCATTATACTTTGTTTGGCCTCAAAAATAATACATACATTTGTTTTATAAAAATTAAAAGTTATTTAAGTTGATTGTAGGTTTTAGAATAATGGTTTCTATGATCATTCGAAAAATATTTATTGCGCAAAATTTTTACTTTGGTTACGCTGCTGAGTACTGTCACAGTCAGGGGGCAACAAAA